ATCTTCTCAGGTCTCTTCTGACCCTAGAAACTATGAAACTATCTCTTTACAAGATTGCACATCTGGCTCACATCTGAACCACATTCCAAATGTTGCTTATGTAAGGAGTTCATGCATTGGCCAGGTGAACTGGTTAGGCTTACTCTGGCCAGTGATTTAGCAAAGCCTTTGTATGAGCAATATATATATATTGATCAGTGTTCCAGTGAGGCCTAGACAACTCATTCTTGCCCTCTTGACCCTTTTCATTATCTGTTTGTTTAGTGTTTTTTTAAGTTGAACTTGATTCTCTGCCATTATAACAACTGCAGCACTGAGTAATTCCTCATTAGCTGTCCAAAAATAAAAGCAAGTCTGGCATAACAAATTAACTTTTCTCAAAACAGATGGAAATTGGTTTTGGCTTTACATCTTGTTGTGCCTCCGTAGGATTAATCCAGTCTAACAAAGTAATAGATTTCAGAGCTGTCTAAAAATCTGCTTTGGAGTCCACTTATAGAGCAACAACAATCTTTGATAACTAATGTTCCTCATATTCTTCACCACACTGATCTCTAAAAGATCACATTAAAGATGAAGTGTTAGTAGGATAAGAATTCAAGCTAAATGTTAGTGAGAAACAATTATTTGGGATGTGCAGTCTAATCATTCAGTAGGAGGCATATCTTTTAGCGCTGGATGCAGGCTGACAGTCCTACCTTTTCAGCCAGTTGATGCTTCAACATTGCAAAGTTTAGCCAGGGGGAAATTGTTCATGTATGTGAGGAAATACTTCACTCTGCTGTTGCTCAGTTTAGTGGTTTATCTGCTAACTTTCTCCATGCTTTTTTTTGTAACATTGAAACATTTCTTCTATCTTGTAAACCAGTAATTTTCAACCTTCAGGCCTCACAGGCCAGATGAATGGTACAGGGCTGGTCTGGGGGGCAAGTGCCATGTGTAGAATCAGTCTGCGGATATGCTGGATTCTGGCCACTGAGTGACACAGTGCACCAGCACAATCTAGCACATTGGACCATGTCATCCAGGCCACAGGGCTTCCTCTGGGTCTGGAAATTTGGCAGCAGGGAAGCTGCAATTAACACTGCTACTCATTGCCAAATTTTTAGACATGTGGGGAAACATGACATGGCTTTAGAGCCCAGAGGTTGAGCACCACTGCTACGTGTGCCCTTTTCTCCTTGAACCATGTAAAGAGAGTTTTGTCAACATTAATGTCTCTTCCTGCAACCTCATGTCTAAAACAACTTTTTGTCAGTCCATTTTCATAGTCAGCTGAAGTTTATCCTTCTGCTTCCAAATTCTGAAAATAACCAACATGTGCAATTCCCACTTGACTGCAGATTGATTGTAATTGACCCCAAGAGCTTGAAATTCTGATAATCTGTGTTCAGTTTAGGTGTGAAACAACTTGGCATGTGATCTGTTTCTGACAGAAAAGTAAAAATAACTGTGGTATGACCTGACGCAAGAAAGCAGCATGACATCTATATGTTGCATCACAACACTATTTCCACCCTTCCCAAATATTGCTCTTACACAGCTGTTTCCAGGTTTTCCATACATAGTATGGGAAATGTATCTCATTTTCATTCTCAAAAGTTATATTAATGTATCAGCTTTGAATTTAGTTGAACTAACATCAAGAGTAAGTACTTAACAAGGTATGAACCAATTCACTCAGTTGGCATTTAGGATGCAAGTATAAATCAGTTATTAAAAAGACAGGAATTGGGTCTATATAAAAAAATGGAAGAAAGCTGTTCTCTCTGAGGAGCAGATTTGAAGTATCTTAAGTCCCTGGATCAGGGAAGGGTTTTCACTCAGGAAGGCATTTGGACACATGCTTAACTATGTAAATAGCGTTTAAGCCTGACTTTAATTTTAAATACAGTAAAAGCTGTGTTATCCAGCATCCATGGGGAATGGGAAGTGCCAGTTAATCAAATATGCCGGTTGCCTGAGAGGCGTCTTTGCCTGTTCAGGCGACCACCCCTCCTGCCGTGTCTGGTGCGCCACGGCTTTCACTCCCTGGAGTCAATGTGCCAGGGGACAAGGAGGGGGGCCCCGCACAGGCTGCTTTGCCCCGGGCTGTGTTCCAAAGTCGGTGAAGTGGGACTTGGAGAAACCAGAAGTGCCATGGTAGGACTTCCAGTTTCGCTTTTGCTGCGTCAATCGGCATGCTGGTTAATAGAGCATGCCGGTTAATAAAATGCCAGATAACACAGCTTTTACTGTACACGCTTAAGTGTCTCCTTTATCAGGGTCCTTAGTAGGATTCCCCTTGACACGTCAGATGGATTAAAATGTGGTGGTTCAAATGGATTAAAGTCTAATCATTGGAGACATGAAAAAAGATGTACTTTTACTAGGAGCAACAGCGTGTTAGTTCAACCCTTCTCTTCAGTGTCCATATAAATCAGGTGCTTCAGCAGGGCTTTTTGGTGCTTTTATCTAAAGCTGATTCAATAATCTATTAGATAAAATCACCAGAAAAGTCCCACTAAGCTGCCTGATACAGATACTGCAGAGCTGGGTCAAAACAAGTGCACTGCCTTTTCTTGGCATGCACTGGACTTGGCACTGGAGTGCACTGAGTTTAAAGTAACATGTATTTTGTGGGGGGGGTTTCACATCTGCAAGCAACCTGTGTTAGGCCATTTATTGTCTTTCTCTTAGTTGTATTTCTGTGTTACAAATCAGAATGTGGTGCTCTTCTAGTACTCTGTTGCCATCTATTTAGCATGGCAGTGTCATTTTCTGTCTGTTTGTACAAAACCTGGTGTTTTGGGGCTGCATCCTGGTTAACCCAGTATAAATGTTAAACATCAAAAATAATGTTGATCCTGGAATTAATTTTGTAGGCCTTGTTGGGTAGGCCTAGAAGGGTTAAATCAATAAAGGCTCTTAAAGCGTGATATATG